TATATATATATATATTTATATATATATATATATACATAAACATATATGTATATGTATATGTATATATATATATATATATATATATATATATATATATATATATATATATATATATATATATATATATATATATATATATATATATATATATATATGTATGTATATATATACATACATACATATATATATATATATATATATATATATATATATACATATATGTATGTATGTATGTATATATACATATATATATATATATATATATATATATATATATATATATATATAATATATATATATATATATATTATATATATATATATATATATAGAGAGAGAGAGAGAGAGAGAGAGAGAGAGAGAGAGAGAGAGAGAGAGAGAGAGAGAGAGAGAGATGTAGTATATATATATATATATATATATATATATATATATATAATATATATTATATATATGTATATATATTATATATATATATATATATATATATATATATATTTATATTTATATATATACACATATATCCCTAACACTGCCGCGGCCGTGGTCGCCCGGTCAGCAGCGCCGCTGTCCTCGCGTCCCCGCCGAGGCGGTGTTGCGGCCGCCGGCGTCCTCCGCTCGGGTCTTTTTTAAGCCTCGGGTCGGGCTCGGGACACGTTGTTTGGTGAACGGCGGTCCAAGATTTCTTAATGAGGCGGTTGAGCAGCGAATCTTGTTTTTGTGTGTTCCTTTTTTTTTCCCAAGCGGTATTTGTGTTCGTGGTGGTTTGTCGAGCACGCCTGAAGTTTCTTTTCAACCCGTTTTTATTACGGCGAGGAATAATAGAAGAAATACTGTCTGGTCAGCTTTGAGAAAAGTAGAAAGCAACACCACTTTGTCTTTAAAATATGTATAATGTCAACGGCCAGAGAAGCAGATCTTGCCTCTGGGTTCCATATTTTCGAAGGAAACGCTGTCCACAGGGAGGGATGAAGTATCGCTTGGAGATGAATCGAAGAAATTCCGAACGTCTCACGTCGCCTCTCACAACATCGTCTTTGTAGCGTGGCTTTGTAATTTTCCCTTTCTTCTCCTTTTTATCGCAAAACAAAAGAGCGAGAGGTTAAACAGAGAGAGACAAAAAGTTGGTACCATGAAGTGACCAAACCGCATGTGGGCAGGAGAGCGGAAGGGAAAGCGGGAGGAGGAGAGGGATGGAGAAGGGAAAGGCAGGACAGGAGAGAGACAGAAATGTTCGTACTAACTGAAAGTTGATACATGCATACATACAAACACACGCACGCACACACACAAAACACACACACACAAATACACACACAAATATACATATATAAATATATATATATATATATATATATATTATATATATATATATATATATATATATATAATATATATATATATATATAATTATATATATATATATATATATATATATATATATATATATATATATATATATATATATATATAATATATATATATATATATATATAATTATATATATATATACATATATATATATATATATATATTATATATATATATATATATATATATATACATGTATGTATATGTATTTTTTACATAGTAGGCCTACTGTTTGTTCCAGGAGGAAATTAAGAAAGCCTTAAGATGCGGCGCGAGGGAGAGGCGCGGGGAAGATGTATTGTCCTCCGGAAGACCGTCTTATGAGCTGTGAATCTGTGATTGTGGTGTGGCAGCCAGGGGGCGGGCGGGCGGGCGGGGTGTGTGGCGCCCACGGGCTCGCTCCTTCTGTCGAGTGCACCCACCCCCTCCTCTCTTTTTCTACTCCCCTCTCTACCTCCTCCATTTACCTCCTCTTCCATCCTACACGCCCCCCCCCCCCTCTCGCCTTCTTCATTTCATCCCCTCCTCCTTCCTTTTCGTCCCCCTCCTCCCGTCCTTTCCTCTCTCTCCCCTCCACCTTCTTTCCTCCTCTTTTCTTCCCCCCTCCCTTCCTTCCCCTTCCCCTGCTCCCATCACCTTCCTCCCCTCCCTCCCTTGCCCTCCGCCCTCATACCTGCGGTCTACAAAGGCCCGAAGAAGTAAGCAGCCTCCTACCGCCCACAGACTTATCCTGCGGAGACTCGGCCTATCCTCTCGCAGTTGACGCCGCCTGCTTCGTATCACAGAGTCCGCGCCATGCACTAACATGCTAATCGTCGCCCAGCCCTCGTGTGTCGACCTTTCAATTACAGGGAACAGGTAAGTGTGTACCTGGCGGCCCACTGGGTAGCGGAGGCCCCGCACCCCACCTGCTGCCGCCGCTGATGAAGACGTCATAGCTCAGTGAATCAGTCGGGTACGTTTCTTGCCGCGTGGCGCTACACTATAATTTAGATGATGACTTATTTTGTGTTATTCTTATGGACATCATTTTACTTGTTCGTTTTCATGTTTTCTGACTTCATCGGCACTCAAGGTCTATATCTAAGAACAGGGGAGGCTGGGGCGACATTCAAACAGAAGGCGACTGTCGGTAACCGCAAGCAATTACAGAGGCGGATATGCGTGTCCTCGCGTACTCAGCCTGCACTGCTGCTGTTACTGCTGTTGCTGCTGCTGCTGCCGGGTGAGGAATGTCTTCTTCAAAGAGACTCGTGTGATGGGAAGCGGAGCGGGGAGAGGGAGGGAGCGGCGAAGTGTTACGCCTCTCCTGTGTGCGCCGCCGTTTCCTGTTTTGAATGGGATATTTGCCTGTACAGTCCAAGCCACTCGAAGTGTTTATGGACTGGCCGCTCTCGTCGCAGCTTAGCAACGGCTCGACGTCAAAGTTACAGCATCGCCACAGGGCATCTATACGTTTCTTTCGCTACACATTTACTGATACCTTTCGTCCTGAATCATCAGATAGCGTCGCAACGTATTCCCCAGATACTTGAAAGCCATCCTACTGTTGCGTAAGACACGACACCCATCTTTCATAATTGGTGGGTGTCTGAGGAAGCCTCGTTAGAGCGGCGTCCCACGGGCTGAGCAGCCATCGCCCCAAGCGCGTTGGGGCTTTAATTGAAGCCAAAGCCCCGGTCGCCTCTTTGGAGCAAGGGACCTCGCCAGTCTGCTCTCTTTGTCTTTAAATGGGTAAGGGCGGGCATGAGCAACTCCATTCGCAGACAAATATCGCTGTAAACGCTATAACATGCGTGTTACAGCCATCAAGAACGTTCAGTTTATAAACATGATGTTTCACTGTCTTATTGACTGACTGACTGTCTATCTGTCTGTCTGTCTGTCTGTCTGTCTGTCTCTCTCTCTCTCTCTCTCTCTCTCTCTCTCTCTCTCTCTCTATATATATATATATATATATATATATATTATATATATATATATATATATATACTCCTCTCCGTCTCTCACTCCCGTAATACAACCAATATCAGCATCATCACTTGATGACGTGGGAAATTTCACATTCGACGCAATTAAGTGAGAGTAATTTAAACGCTTCCTGCCATTAGTTACATACAATGTGCACACAAAAAAAATCATAATGGTTAGCATTATTCAATAAATTTGTGGATACGAGTGTAGTATCCGCTTCTACCACCGCCTTTATAGAGTTCTATCAGGGTATTTTAAGGATTTTCAGTTTAATACACAATTGATATTCCAAAATCACACTGTCATATCATATCTTCACATCTTACTAAAATGCAAAAGGCAAAATATATACTTTTTTAGTTTCGTATAAAGAGACTATGGCTTTGTAGGTCACATCACAATTAAGTATAAGAGAAATATGGCAAACTGATACTTCACTTCCTATTGTAAAGATTTCAAAATACAAGCTCCATATGTATCGTATCCTCGGTTGTAAATATTATCTCCAAAGCCCAGCATAAAAAAAAAATAAGGCAAATCATATTCCTCGCTTACCGTATCTCCCAAGTTTAGGATATAAGGCACATCATAAAATAAGCCTTAAAGCACATCATAGTAGAACTTATGCCCTTCTTCCCCTGGCTTCGGGATGATCCGCCTTCCCTGCGCTGACATCTTTCTTGTCTTCATTTCATCTCAGTGACTTACGCGATACCGAGCGAAATCTGCCAGGTCGGCGCCGATTCCATTAGCTCAATTGGGTGGAGATTTCTTTCCTTTTGTCCGAATATTTCTTGTCAAAATCAAAAAGGAAATATGACTTGCTTCTACCGTAAGATTCTGTTCTTTTTTGCATACAACGCCATTATTTCCCAAAGACGACACTCAACTGGACATGGCGCCAGGGAGAGGGACACACTGCCAGTAATAGACAATAGATGGTATAAATAAAACACAGAAGGCCGACAATTACCATAGATTCTTATAAAAACATATCAATATATAAGTATATCACATTGAGCACTCACCGCTTCAATAAAAATAATGTAAAGTAAGTTATTTTCCTTTTTTCTCAAATGAACTCAAAATTGTCAACTTTCTGACTAGTTAGTGCGACAACAGATTGAATGTTTTTTCCTTAGGCTAATGAACTGAAAAGAAAGAAAATGTAAGAATGATCAAATGATGCAAAGCAAAAAATGGAAAAGAAAAAGATCCAAGAAATAAAAAGAGAACAAAGAAAAACATAAAAGAAAGAACAGAAAATGAAGAGAGATCGATAACAAATATGAACGAATGACTGGCGAATGACATGAACGAGTGATGAAACATATATTCTCACAAAAAATAATAGTACTAATGCAAAAACCCTGATGTGTCCTGCAAGACACGGATGCCTGTCTCCTTACCCTTTCAGTACATCTTTTTAATCTCTACCATATACAAAATAAGATAAAGGATACTTTTTGGTCGGAGATCCATACGAACAACCTCGATTCAGCATTTCTGAACCCTGCAAAGTCACTCTGTGTCTCAATGTATCTGAATGGCATTGTTTTTACCTTTCTTGAATGAACTAAAATGCCACATGGACTAAAGTTTTATGCAGACATGAACGCAGAAACGCAAAATGACATTCACATATTCAAAACAAAAAAATATATGCTTGACGAGATTGACTGGAAGAAATATACACATATAGAGGCAAAAAACAAAGAATTCTCGTGATGAAACGAACTGTATAATAATTGTTAAATGTTCAAATTAATAATCAGAGGCTGGAATGACTCGTCTTATTCATGACAGAGGAGTACAGGCTAACTCACATGCGATGATATGTAGCTCACGGTAACTAAACAGAGTGCTGGTGTGTGTGCCTGTGTGTGAGTACGTGAATGTGTAAGGTCCTGTACCTGTGTGTTTCGTGTGTGTGTGTGTGTGTGTGTGTGTGTGTGTGTGTGTGTGTGTGTGTGTGTGTGTGTGTGTGTGTGTGTGTGTGTGTGTGTGTGTGTGTGTGTGTGTGGTGTGCGTGTGCGTGTGCGTGTGCGTGTGCGTGTGCGTGTGCGTGTGCGTGTGCGTGTGCGTGTGCGTGTGCGTGTGCGTGTGCGTGTGCGTGAGCGTGAGCGTGAGCGTGAGCGTGAGCGTGTGTGTGTGCGTGAGCGTGTGTGTGTGCGTGAGCGTGTGTGTGCGTGAACGTGTGTGTGCGTGAGTGTGTGTGTGTGCGTGAGCGTGTGTGAGCGTGTGTGTGTGCGTGAGCGTGTGTGTGTGCGTGAGCGTGTGTGTGTGTGCGTGAGCGTGTGTGTGTGCGTGAGCGTGTGTGTGTGCGTGAGCGTGTGTGTGTGCGTGAGCGTGTGTGTGTGCGTGAGCGTGTGTGTGTGCGTGAGCGTGTGTGTGTGTGTGTGTGTGTGTGTGTGTGTGTGTGTGTGTGTGTGTGTGTGTGTGTGTGTGTGTGTGTGTGTGTGTGTGTGTGTGTGTGTGTGTGTGTGTGTGTGTGTGTGTGTGTGTGTGTGTGTGTGTGTGTGTGTGTGTGTGTTTACCTTTTTATTGATTTTTGCCTACTGTTTGACGTTACAATCTTACAATCTTTTGTAAATGCAAATGTACACATGGAGATCTTTTGTATTGTATTTTAAGGTTGAATTTGCCTAGGCCTACCACTTGGGAATATGTGTGAATTTACTGGTGGGTCAGTCTACCGGCCAGTGAGAGGCTGCGTGTGTGTGCGTGCGCTCGGACGAGAGGACTAGATTGCACCTTGAGACAACACCAACTACTTGTGTGTGTTTGCGTGTGTTTGTCCGCCTTCGGCACAGACACGCTCCCCCCTCCTCTCGCCTCCGCCGTCGCCTGCGCCTCCTTCGCCAGGGCCTCGTGTAGTCAACGGCGTCTGGCGAAGGAGCCGCTTTCGTTACTGGATTCCTGGCACTCGTGGCTGGCGAGTTCACGTTCAGATTTCCTCTGCACTTCCTTCCGGTTTCACTGGGACTTCACTGTAGCCTTGAGGCAGTTTTCATTCCTTTACTGACCGTCCTTCCAGCAGCTGTGCATAAGCAAGGCGAGTGGCCCGAACTCGCGTGCGCGCTTGTTCGTAGTCTGCCTTAGAACGGGTCGCCGCGGAAACTCGCGGAAACACACGCGCACCCGAAAGGCTCAACAAGACATTCCTCAAGGCAACACTAATCGGCACCTACGCTGTGATCCAGCCAGACAAATCTACAAAATGCTCCTTTCACATACGAATTGGATCTGCGTGCCAATCCACGAAGCAGGTTGTTTCTGATATGGAGTTCACTCATTTCCACTTCTCACTCATGGTTCAAGAACTATCAAGGACTTGCCACACTCATAGCTAACGCAAGATAACCTGGAGAGGAATACACTTCCCTTCCCTTTTCCTCGGCCGTCCCGCGTTCTCCAACGCCGTCGCTCTCCAACGCTGTACCCTGAGATCAGTCTGCCATCACGCCATCACAGATACGCAGCCGCCCGCGCCTCCGGACCAGGCCTCAGACGAGCTCCTCTCCTGCACTGAGAGCCGCCTCCAGGCCCCGTCCTCGAAGAACAGGCAGCGTCCTGTCGCGGGAAAAGCGGTCCGCCGACGCCCCTCGCCTCGGGGCCTACGTCAGGTTCTCGTAGAGCGGCTCGGCTTCGGGCGGATGGTGCGGCTGCGGATGGAGCGGGTGGTGGTGGCCGCTGTGGCGCCGCCCCGAGGAACCCCTGCGGCCCGGGGGGCGCCGCTGGCCGCGCTCCACCGAGAAGTAGATGCGGAAGCGGTCTGTGCGCGAGGGCAGGGGAGGAAGGCCTCGCTCCTGCGGCGTCAAGGGCCGCTCCCGCCGGATGCCGCCCACGTAGTACACGCTCTCGTAGTCGGAGCCCGAGCCGGCGGGGGACAGGCGGTGCGGGGGCGCACTCGGGCAGTAGTAGCGCGAGTGGTTGGGAGAGGTGTTGGGCGTGTCATTGTCGCTGGGCGGCACCACGCCCCCCGGACCCAGGGGCTCGTCCTCGCTGTCCGTGTCGGCAAGGATGGGCGAGGGACAGTGACCTCCTCGCGGGTGCGGCGGGCGCAGAAGGGAGCGCCCGTCGTGGGGCGCCGCCTCGCTGGTGCTGTAACTGCACGTCTCGCTCCCTGAGGAAGAGAAGCACATTCGTAAACCTA